ATTTCTGTAGGCAAACTTTTTTTCTTGGTATTGGGATAAAATTAACTTACGATTTACGTAGAAAGCCAGTGGGTATCCATGAGTTTTTAGTGCCTAATTAAATGAAATTATTTAATGAGTAAGTACTAGTTCTTGAGTTTACTTTAACAAATTACTAAAGTATCTAATTTATAAAGGCTGGGTGTGCCCTATGAGGATTTCCCGATCCCAGAGACAACCCACGGCACACGTCACAACAGAACTCGAACCCGTAACACGGATCAAAAGAACAAAATACCTTAATTAATTATCCGGCTCGCTTTATATATGAATTTTCTTTTATTTATAAGGACCATTTTCATAGAAAAATAAACAAATTTAAATATTAATTTAAACATTTACATAAGAGTCACAGGAAATGGTTTTTTAATAATCGAAAATACATAAAATATACTTAGGTCAAGGAAAACCACATTAGTGAAAAAATCCTTCATAAAAAATATAAGTTATAATGATAGACAAATTATAAGATGGATGAATAGATTAATACATTCAATCAAATACCCAACATCGTTAAATCTGCTCGAATTTCCTTTTTTGTAAACCTATTATCAGCTAAAAAAAAATAATAATAAAGAAAGGTGAGAATAAAGTAGGAATGAAATTTAAAGAATGGGAAACAATCAAGTCTGTGCTATAAAAATATTTATGACCGTGACGGATGCAATCCAGTAATTAAACGTTACCTTCCTGTGATAATAAAACTTTAATTACTTAGAATTCAATTAGAAATAATTCAATTTCAAATCGGTAGCCTTCTCAAAATATTCAAGAATATCTACTAAACAATATGTTTTAGTCCGCGATACAGACACCTTTTTATCAAATTAATAACATCAGCCTATAACTTCGTGAATAGCTTCATCTTTTTTTATCTACGAAAATTATCAAAAATGGAGGGTTTTATCATAAAAAACGTGATGCAACAATATTGGGCCGTTTGGCCCATATAACCTCGTTATTTTGACATATCGCGGCCACGCGACATGGAGGTCACGCCAAATGACTCAGTATTTTTGTATGCCGATTTTTTTCTCGTTTTCGTTATTGCATTATTTTATGGTTCAAGCGGAAAGAAAATGGGTGTTGATGAGTTTTAGTAGCTAAATAAATAGACAAAGTATCCAGATTCCTATTTCCGAATATTATTTAATAAAAAAATTTTAGGTTACGTTAAGATGAAGCTATTCAGGAAAGTATAGTTACTTTTAATTTTATTATTATTTCTTTCTGTATATATTACAGACCTTGTAGCCTTAACAAGCCTACTTCATCTCTATCTGTCTAGAGTTATTTCTTTCCATCCTTCTCTATTGCATCTTTGTTGATTCGATCTATCCATCTGCTTTTTGGCCTTCCACTTTCTTTTGCCTACTATTGAGGAATTCATTGTCGTCCGCCCATCTTAACCTCCGTGCCTTAATGTCATGAGATATTGATTGAAAAGTTTCTGTAAGCTCTTTATAGGTCTTTCTTCTCCATGTATTAGTACTCTGATCCCAGATCGCTCCGGTTACCATGGTTCATTCCGGTTTCTCTCAAATCTTTTAATAGTTTTTTTTCTACGGCGCGGGTCAGACCTGGCTTAATCATTGCATTGTACACCCTTAATTTGAGATTTCCGATCATTTTCCTCTATTTTATGATCAAGTTATCTTACGATTCCAGTGGAAAACAAATAGGTATATATGAGTTTACAGTCCCTAATTAAATAGAAGAAGTCGGCCGATTCCCAGATTGAAAACGACCCAATTCAAAGAATTTTCGTGAAGAAAAAAGTTGTTGTTACGATAAGATGAAGGTATTCCAGAAATTTTAGGTTAATAATTTGATAAAAAGGGTGCTATTCCAGGAACTATTTAAAATTAGCTTATTCATGGAAATAAAGAAATTCTGAATAAATTTATGTAAAATAATAATAAAGACTTTATTATGGAAACAAATTAGAATTTGAATCAAATTAATATTAAAATTAATTTCATTAATAAATAAATTTATTAAGATTAAAATATTTGTATTGATTTATTATTATTATTATTTGTAAATTTAAAAAAAAAATAGGGATTTTTAAAGCTTTTAACAGTTCTCATAGGATATTTCCAGGTGGGGAAGTTAACAAGGTGCTGATGGTAACTTATGCATATGGAGCAGGGAAGGTAGGACAACCAAAAGGAATGCAAATTAAAGGAAATTACATTTGTTGTGATAAAAAAAACAGTTCTCATGAACGCTGCTTTGAAAAGAAATGAATTCATAAGTTGACCCATATCCCTTTGAATGAGCGTGGCACAAACCGCTGTGTTGTTTCCTTCCTCGGCAGCTAATCGAAAAAAAAAAAAAAAAAGAATAACATGGAGTAGGGAAAACCGAGTCGTAAACAAACAAAAGAATAATGAGTAAATTTGGTAGCAAAATTTACTAAAACTACAGTAATTTAAACGTTGGTACCGGTAATTATGAAATATTAGGGGACACATTATAGGAATTAAAAGGTATAGCTAAAGATATAAACTTAGAAATTTAAGATAAACAACCTTATTCATATTTTTTTGTGAGATTTTCTAATAATGATTTTATTTTATCCATATATGATTATTTATAATTGTGGGTTGATGGTTGACTGTAGCAAATAAAGAAGAGATTGGGGCTATCAATCAAAATAAAAATAAATATTATTATTTATTTTAACCATTTTTATTTTTACTGATAACCCCACCTCAACCATCTTTCTCTTTTTTATGATTATTTATATATCAAAACCCTATTTAATATCACAAAAAATTTTACAAACATTTAAAAATGTTTTAAATGTAAAATAAAAAGGCTGTGGGATGAAAAATGGACTTGATGTATAAATAATTACATATAGATTAAATAAAATAATTAGAAATTTAAATTAAATTTGCTGAGTGCGAGGAGCTGGGATTTCCTAGAGTCCTGCCTTTCCTTCCAGGAGAAGGCTTGGCTCGGAGTTCTTCTGAGTGAATGGATTCTGTAAATATTGTATAAAAGTGTGCTCGTGTTTCAGTTGTTATTTTGATTAGTTTAGTTCTTTTGTTTATATACATTTGCTTTTATTATTATTAGTTTCTGTATTATTTATTGTAAATATAGTGTGAGCGCGCTCTCTGAACACTATTATAAATGTCCTTAATTGTGACAGAATGTAATATTTCTGAATAAATAAATAATAAAAAAAAATTAAATTTTGGGAGCTATTTAAGTAGTTCGGTTTGGTCTAACAAAAGCTATTATTGGAGCATAAATAGAAAAAATTAATTTCAAATAAGGCCAAAAAAAAAATCGATCAAATATTGATAAATACGAAAGAATAATAATGCACTCGAGCAAAATTTTATATAAAGCAGATGGTAGGTATTCGCTTAAGAAATGAAAATCTCAGCAATGAGCAGCGATGTTTCAGAATAAGCCTAGGACGTCATCAAAATGACTAGAGTTCTCAACAAGTGGCTAACAACTTGAGCTGAAACATCAAAAAGCTTTTGATGTCTATATAATTTAAAATAATAAATTACTATATAGTAGTAAGTGTTAGTATCTGATACTCCGTACACCGAAGTTCTATTTTTTAAATTTATGTTAAAATAATTTATTAATTATGAATGTTTTTCTATGTATTTCTTTTAATTATAATTTATTTAGTTTTGCTACGAATTTCTGTATTTTATTTAATTTTAACTCTAAGTTACATTTCGTTGTTTTATTATAGTTTTGGCTTTGTTATATAGATGTATACTTTTTTATTTTATTTTTTTATGTGAATACGGTATGAATGTGCCTCACTCAGCTTTAGTACCCAGTGCCCTTAAGTGTGGCAAAATGTATTATTTCTCAATAAAAAGATATAAAAAAAATAAATAAAAATAATTTAAATAAGAATTAATATTTATATCAGTTATTTTCGGGATGGATCAACTCCCGGCTGGTTAGCGATGCGGATCAAATTGCAGAAGGGAGGAAAATAACAGGGAAAATGGAATAAGAGAGGGATGTTGGAAAGGAAGGGAGCGAGGCAACAAACCAGCCGCGTGTCCACTCGACTGTCCATTTTCCCCCCTTCCTCATTCCTTTAACCCTGCTCAGTTTAGCAGAAACATGTGTCACACCGTTTCGAGTACAACTACATCATATATTACACCGTATTAATTGGAGCGGATATATCAAATATCAATTCCTTGAATAGAATGATGCTGCGAAGGGAATTACGTAAGCGTGAAAGGAAATTAATTCAAAATTGGTATTAAATGCTGTTTTACACGATCAAGACCATTGGTTTGTCCTAGAATTTGTAGTAAAGCACTTTGAATTTTAGCAGTGGAGATCACCAGATACCTTTTTACAAATTTAAGTTGCTCGAACAAAGTCGGGAATTAAAAGACTTATTTATCTGCTAAGTGTGCCAGGAAAGTACCTCTACCTAGATTTTTTTATTTATTTCGCTTAGCGCTTAGATCGTCTCTCTTACAAAGGTCGGGTGATTATTCGAGAGGTGCTACCTGAGTGTCTATCACTGGTGCAATAAACTCTGTTTTTCTTAAGTCTTTCACGAATAATTAATTGATTGACCGTATAGAAATCAAAAATCGATAACAGACTTAATTTGCAGTCACTCGAACCCATTTACAAAGATCCGCCGTCAGAACTAAAGCTGTGGTTCACATTAATATTGAAAACTTAATGGAAAGTGTCTATTACCGGTATCTGTTACCTTAAATCAAAGCTGTTAACCGTTAACAGAAAATTATAAATGAAAAACCAATCACTTAAACTATAGATCGAATAAAATGCTTTTAATATGACTTAAATGAGATCATGCTGGAATGAAGCTCCCACGGGAGAATCAACAAACACATCTCTAATTACTGTATACACATTGGGATATTGTTTATTTATTTATTATTTTTTTGTTGTATGAGTCAACATGGGCTATGTAAACACAGATGTTGGTGCCGTTGTGCCACGCCCGTGGTGTCCAAGGGGAGTACCATCAGCTTTGGGATTATGCATGGCTTGCTCTGGAGCCATCACACCCTCCATCCATCAAGGACATGAACCATTTCAGTGTCTTTCCAAAGAGTCCGATCCTTCGGGCGTGTAGACAGCAATCCATGGATTGTTGGGTAATGTCAAAAGAAAATTAACGGCTTTGTATTGGTATCGGTTCTGCTGGATCATGGGAGAGGTTGATAGAGTTTATCTGAGCACAACACCTACAGCAAAATTGGCGGAGCCCAAAGGACTGTATTACCATAGAGGGCGAGCATATCTCTTTGCCAAGTCCATTGAGTTCTGTGGATACGAGATCAGGCTAAAGGCTATTTTTCACAATTCTGCTTCTTTTCAAAACTCCTATTCCGCGGTACAGATCCTTTTTTATTAAATCATGAACATCCGTTTAAAACTTCGTGAATGGATTCAATTTGTAACTATTGTAACTACAACTTTTTCTTTAAACCAATCCTCGGAAATGGGGTGTTTTCATTCTAGAGATTATATCATATACAAAGGTTATTGTACATAGTGTGCGAATCTGATTGTATATATCGTATATATAGGTATGACTGTATTTTTATGTTTTTGATTTTCTTATATTTAGGTTATTTTATTTTTTATTGTATATAGTTTTTATATATTATTATTTAGTTATTATTTTACTTTTGTTAATTTTGTTTCTTTTTTGTATATACGGTGTGAATGTGTTCATTTATCAATATAATTATTGTCCCTGTGACAGAATATTATATGTCTAAATAAATAAAAAAATAAATAAATAAAAAAGTGTGCGAATATGATAATGATTATCTGAACATAATTATAAATGTCCTTTGAGACAGATTGCAATATTTATCAATAAACAAGTTCTAAAAAAAACCTAGAGATCGGTAAACTTTCTCGATTTAATTAGGTACTAAAATGTCGGCAAGATCTCTGAAGTACAAAATAACTTTATTTTTACATAGATAGGGGAGATTGCTTACTGAGGAAATGGAAAAATAAATTATGTTTAAATGAGGTCAAGGATGAGGATTTCCGTAAAGAGGTTGGTAGGGAATTCCAAAACGAGGTAGCAGGTATGACGAAGGATATTTTAAAAGAAACAGTTCTGTGAAAAGGAATAAACAAATTTGAGGATTGGGATCTCGTGTTGAACGATAGAGATAGTAAACAAATAAAGAAGTTTTAGGTTAGGATTAGATGAAGCTATTCACAAACTTTTCGACGGATGTTAATAATTTGATAAAAAGAGGTAAAAACCCGGCATGCCCTCTCCTTATCCACATTTAAAACCCACCTATTCCAGAAAACAGTCAGATACCAGCTAACCATGTACTGTGTCACAGTGCTGGCTCCGAAACTGGTGAATTTTATTTCAATTTGGTACCAAAATATTTGGTTCGCAAATAAGTCCTTTCGGTTTTTCAGTTTATTTTTATGACTTTATGATACACTTTATATCTGTTGTATAATTCCCTACAGTGGATTTGAGGTATATAAGTGTTAATCAGCATATAAATGTAGCTAGATTTTTTTATCTTTACTGTAAGGTTATATACGGCTAACTACACATTATTTAAATAACAGGTGTAATTTTATTTTATTTGTTAATTAAATTAAAGACTTGATGTTCTTTTAAAGGAATTTTAGTTTTTTTCTCTCTGACTGATTATTTGTTTTACATATAGTTTTAAGTATTTTTTCGTTACATAGTTTCATTTATTTTTGTATTGTATATATTGTTTATTTTACAAAGTTATATTTTTCGTATTTAGTTGATGTAACACATCTTTTGACCAAAAATAATCCTCGTTTTCAGTACAACTTCGTTATTCTTAAGGAACACCATATTTTAGGGATTTTCAAATATGAGAATCGTCGTTTGACAGACGCATGATAGGTTTAGTCAGCTCTAAAATGAGTACTTAATATTAGTCATAGGATGAATCAGGCGGTTATAATACGGTTTCGACCACATTATTTCCTGAGATATGGTAAGAACAAGAATTCTAGACGTTTCCTTTTACACTCCGTTTAGTTTCGTAAAACTTTCTATATATAAACTAAACTTTCTAGTTTTTTCGATTGTGGCGCATAGTACTACTGGCTTTTGCTTCCGTTAGTGCTTCTTAAAAGGGCTTGAGGTTCGACAAAATCAAAAGTTCCTTCTGATCCGAATTGTAGTTTAAAGTTGTTCCGAAGTATCTCGACATTGTGATTACGATTTTCCTTTGGCGGACAAAATCGATTAGATCGCTGGCCTTGAGGAACAATGTGCTTGAACTTCTGAAAGGTTCAAAAAATTTTCCGGGTTTGTGAATCCAGGATTCTCAAAGCGAGGGACGCCAAAATAAATTCTGCGGGTTCTTCAAAGGGCAATAAATTGAAACCCTCAATGCAGTCAGCTACTCCAGTTAAAAATTTATTGTATCGTTCTGTGATAGATTTTGTTGATTTGCAATCACATTCAAGGATCTTTTGGATGAACAAAGTTGCGAGGATTCTAGGATTATTATAATTGTCGCGAAGCCTTTTCCAAGCTTGGGAATACGTTCTCTCTTCGACGGGGAAGAGTGAGATAAGTGAGGAAACTTCTCCTCGAACTGCACCAAGCAGGTAGTGGAACATCTCAACATCGGTAAGGGTCGGTTCATTGATAAGAAGGTGTCCTTGAAGTGGCTCCACTCAAGAATATTGCCTGAAAATGAAGGTAATGGAATTTGAGGGAGTTCCTGCTGGTGTTGCTAAGCTTATATTGAAGGGTGGCGAAGCATGAGCTTCTTGTGACCGCAAAGATTGGTCACGTTGAATTTTCGCAGTGATGATCTCACTTCTTAAGGTGCCATAGTCTTCAAGACAGGCTCGAGTGGGAAATTCTGAATTGATTTCTGCATGGAATGATTCTATATCTTCCCAAATTACCTTAATTTTTTCCCATTCAGAGAATGCGATTTCTAGACTTGCCTCAAAACACAAGCGGTCCAGGATTTAATTTTGGGGGGGGGCTTTGGCCCGAAAGCTTTTTTTTCATAAAAATAACGATAATTACTTTGGAAAAACAGAAAGAAACTAACTACCGATATGAAATGGTGTTTAAGTGATTCGTTAAGTCCTTTTAAATATAATTACACGAACAATAATACTTTAAGAGCTATTTTACCATTTTGGAGGGGGGCTTCAGCCCGAAAGCCCCCCCCCCGTAGATCCGCCCGTGCCTCAAAAAACAAAGCTTCGTCTGCATTAGAAATTGCAGAAGCACCGGCTTCGCCAGATCCGAGAATATTTCGTTTCAAAGAACGAAGGTTTCGCTCGTGAGTAGCGATTTGATATTGATATTCAACGTCAGAATTAGGCATGCTAATTATATTAATTGTAGTGCTCAACAACCGAGTAGAAGAAAAGAAATGGGGAAGTAAGAGGCTTTAACATGAATGAATTATAATGAAAGAAAGAAAAATTTAGATTCCGAAGATAAATCAGTAATCAGTAATGACAGTATAATATTAAGAAAATGGCATATTTATTGGGATGCATAATTAATAAATGCTGCGATGCAAATAAAATGAATAGAATGCCAAAGTGGCGTACGATGAGTACTGACTGGCCTAAGTTCTTACTGGCCCAGGAAATGGAGTTCCTACCTCGATGGAACTAAACAGTGAATAACCTTTCTTAATTTTTTAAATAAAGTTCATTTAGTATACAATAAATGTTAAACAATATTATGTGGAAAGAAAAGAAATTAAAAGATATGATAAGTGAATTCATAACAGTGCATAGTGCGATTGAGTTTAATGTGATGAAAAAAAAAGTGAATTTTTAAAACTGATATTATACATTAATCAATAAATGGATGAATTGAAACTGTGAGATAATATATGCCTTTTCCTTTCAATTAAACAAAACTTAAATTATTACAATTGAGAATTATAAAATGATTTAACAGTGAAACTAATAATGCACACTTAGTACAGAAAATAATGAGTTGTTAGTGACTATAGTGGTAGTCAATAAATATATAACTACTAATGACCATTAAAATACAACAAAAAAAGGCAACTGAATTTACAAGATACAATTTAGGGTTACTATTAATTAATATGATATGTTACAATTAAGTAACTTTCATGTATAAAAAAATCATATAACTTACAAATTAACAGTTAAACTAATAATGCACACTTCGTACAGAAAATAATGAGTTGTTAGTGACTACAGTGGTAGTCAATAAATATAAAACTACTAATGACCATTAAAATACAACAAAAAAAGACAACTGAATTTAGAAGATACAATTTAGGATTACTATTAAACAATATGATATGTTACAATTAAGTTAGTTTCATGTATAGTGTGAAGTCATATAACTTAAAATTTAACTTTCATCATATAACTGGTATAATCAATAAATGTTAAATTTCAATGACCCAATGGTGAATTGCTGCTAAATTGTAATTGATTGCAGAAATTCAAGTTATTTTACAAGCTTAAATTCCAGCAAGAAAAATAAAAATAAAATAACTGATTTATAATGCACTGAATTATTTTGTTATTATCAATGTCATGTTGATAATGATAATGAACTGTATGTGAATTTAAATAGTTTCATGAAACAAGCTTTAAAATAATAAATGCTGCTAGGGCGGTGAATTTATTTTATGTGAGCCATATAATATATACCGGTTACAGAATTAAAGCTTTTTGTAAACTCGAAGAATTGGATGTATTAAATTATAATAGTGAGGACCAAATTGTTTGTTATATCCAAGGTATGGAAGACTAAATTGTTTGTTATATCCAAGGCCCGGAGGACCAAATTGTGGTCTCAGGTCTGGGGTGTATGAGGTCGGATCACTGAAATTTGATGCTTGATTAAATTAAACAAAATATTGAGAAAATGATTATATTGCATATAACTGAATAAAAAAAATAAATGAAATTTGTGCCTTTGTACAATTTTGTAGTTCTTTACAGATTAATTACATATTGCCAATTGTGAAATTACAGTTTTAGTTTGATATTGTCATATTAGAAGTGATTATTGCTTGTTTGAAATTGGTTGTCAATTTGGACTCACTTGCTGTCTGAAATTGAGCTTCATGGTTTTGACCACCACTTCTTCCTTGGCCACCAGGCTGTTCTCCTA